ATATATACGTTAAACAAATAAGAAATCATGTATAATAGTTTTTAGTGTAAGTGAATAATATAATTCAAAGGTACGATTGTGGCATGATATTGCCATTTAAATTATAATAATCTAAAAGAGTTATTTGTCAAAGAAAGAATACACGGATTAGATTTGCCATTAAAAAATTCAAGATTACTGTGTGAAATATGCGATCAAGCTAATATACATACATTATCACTTACAAAAGGTACTCGAGTGTTTTAGAACTTGTGCATACGGATATTTATGGTCCAATAAGCGAAAAATACGGAAGAGCATGCTATTTTGCAACTTTTATCGATGATAAAACACGATACATTGAGGTTGTATTTTTGAAATCACGTGGTGATTGATAAAGGATTCTGAAAAAGTTTAAGAAATATCAATCGCTTGTCGAAAAAGAAACTGGTTAAATAATCAAATTACGTAGTGATAATGCTAAAGAATATATTAACAAAAAATTTAATTATCTAAAGTTAGATATCAGTAGACACTTATCAGTTGAATATACACCGCAACAAAATGGGATTGCGGAGCGCGCGAACAGAACAATTGTTGAAATTGCGCGTGCAATGGTTAATTTAAGACAAATGTATCTAAAGATTTGTGGGCGGAAGCTGTAAATAACAAACGTTTTTTTACGTAATAGGTGCCAATCAAAAACTAATTATGATTAAACTCCATACGAATTATAGTTAAACTGAAAACCAAATTTTTAAAGATTTTTGATTCCCAAGCTACTTTCCTAACGAAAGGATCAGTAGATTATGGATTTCCGGTAGCACAAAAATAGTTAAAAGCCGAGACGTGCGTTTTATTAAAAACGTAAATGGTAACAGAATAAAATCCTTGAATATAAATTTAATACCAAGGACAAGTAATGAAAACAAGTTAGAAATTGCAAAAAACGTAGGTAGTCAACGATGCAGGCCATATAGCGAAAAGAATGAGATGGAGACTGTAGAAAAAATATTAGGCAATGTAGACAATAATATAGATAGAAACAGACACAGATGAATTACAATCAGAGAATAATGAATGAGCTCGAGGTAGACCTAACATAATTAGAACTAGTACCCCATAGCATCCGAAAAAACAATATCATGTAGCAAACATTGCAACAAATGATTTATATAACGATCCAAAAATGATATAAGATGCGCTTGAGAGATCAGCTAGAAAAAGATGGTTAAAGGCAATGCGAAGGGAATATAACTCGTTATTAGAATGTAATACATAGGATCTAGTGAATAAATCAAATATGAGAGTCATTTCATCTAAATGGATTTTTCGCATAAAAAGGTTTCAAAACAGAGAAATAGATAGGTATAAAACTAAATTAATTGGGCGTGTATGTGAGCAAAAATTCGATATCGATTATGTCGAAGTTTATGATCCGGTGGCACGAATACAAACGATTAGAATTACATACACTATTAGCAATTAGTGTAGAGATGAATTATCACGTACATCAGATAGACGTAACTACAGTGTATATACAGAGTGATCTGTATTAGAAACAATATGTATGGAGCAATCATTGATGTTCGAAGAGAAATCAATAAATAAAGTCATAATATATCATAAAATATGTCAATTACGTCGTCCTATTTATGGATTAAAACAATCCGGCCGTGCTTGGCAACATAAACTCAATGAGAAATTAAAGGAAATTGGAGTAAATGCGTCCTAAATAGAACTTTGCATTTTTGGTAGTATTGATAATTGTAATGTAATGTAATAATTGTTGTTTACATGAATGATTTACTTTTAGCGTCAGCATCTATAGAAGTCTTGTGTAAGGTTAAAACAAAACTAAGCAAACATTTTTTAATGAAAGATTTAAGGCCTATAAGTGAAATACTTCACGTGCGACTCGAGAGGGATGGAGACACTGATTCAATAAAAATTTCACAAAGAAAGTACATAAATGAATTCATCGACAGATTTGGAATAACACCATGTAAACCTGTGTGCATCCTTCTGATTTCGGGTATAAAGCTATCAGTAGAAATGGGAGTAAAAACTCCCAAAGAAAGAAAGGATATGGAACTATACAAAGAGTTAATCGGTAGTTTCATCTATCTCTTGACAAATACAACAAGGCCAGATGTTTTATTTACAGTAGGGACTTCAAAGCAGATACAATGTAAATTCCAGACAACAACATTGAAAATGTGCTAAGCATGTTATTCATTACTTAAAATAAACTATCGAGTATAAGATAATTTACCGGAAAACAGAAAAATCGTTACATGTATTCACGGACGGAGATTGGGCAGGTGATTACGACAATTGTAAATCTTGTTCAGGAAATGTATGCATGTTAGCTGGCGGACCGATAAGTTGGTTTTTTAAAAAACAGTTGTGCTTTCGTCAATGGAAGCAGTATGTTATTCTCTCCGAAGAAACAATATGAAAGAAACACATACATCTACGTAGAATAATAAAAAAATGTATGGCTACTGGTATATGTAAACAAACCAACAGGTACGTTATACGACAATTGAGGCGTGAGGCCTCCTTTAAAGTAATGCTTGTCTGTGCATCCATGCTGATCTGTGAGGTTGACTGCTCCATTTGAGAATAGTCAGTAGCGATTCCAAAATGAGGTACTCTAAAATAAGAGCTTCACAAATTTGCGATAATATATCAAGCTCGAGAAATCATTTAATCTGATATAAATCCATCGCTTCTTCTAATGGACTTGGTTGTATTCGGCCCGTATGTGTTATGGCTTGAATCTCTTCCAAACTATCAGCGCTGTTCCACAATCGCTTCCTCTCAGTATTAATGACAAGTAAGAAAAACATGATTCATCATAGAAGCAAACACATTGAACTAAAATATTATTTCTCTAGAAATGTTCGAAGTCAGAGATTGAGTCAAATAAAATTTGCCCCTATAGATAAAAATACTGTGGATATTTTGACGAAATACTTAATGAAGGATAAACAAATCGTGTTCAATTATTAATTTTTTAAAAATTAGCATTATATATCTATAAAATGGGGTACTCACACCAACATACAGATACATAAATATAACAATTAACTATTGTTTAAAATACTGTGACATGACAATTTTTTTCCGTCATTATCATGGATCGTCTGTGGGGGGGGGGATCTTGCGTCATCCCAAGAGGGCGAGCGCACATACGAGCGTGCGCTAATTATTCGTTTGGTTAATTTATTTGTTAAGAATTTATTTTATTAATTAGTATTACATTTAGATCTAATATCATCGACGCGACAAACTGTGCTCGGCGGCTAAATTATTGTTTTGTAATCTTGTCGTCTCACTTACCATCGGAAGAAGAAAAACCACTATGCAAAGAAGAATGAATATATGATAATAAGCTAGAAGTCATCTCAACCGAGAGCTCGGACATGCAGGTCGTATAATTTCATATATTTTTGTAATGCGCTATTATTCTGAGTTTTACTGTATTGCAGAAAAAAACTATGGAAGGAGAAAGCTTCAGATATGCCAGATGGCTGAGAAGGATATCAGTTGGAGATAAGACACTCCTACTCGGAGCCGTAGGCGGAGTTTGCCAGGACCTTCTGAGCCAATCCGAATAACCTAAGGCATCATAGAAATCCCGTTTTAAATTATTTAATTGCCCTAAATCACAAGGATCTGCGGTCCGCGAAGACCTATACAATTCGAAGGGCCGCGTGAGTGGGCCCGATTAGAAGGAGGCCGAATGGCCTGCGTGAATCCATGGAAAATTCTTGGCATTCGTACTGTGGCTGAGCCAGTATATTGTGAGAGGACGCACGGTTTCTTTGCAAACAGAGGGTTATCGTAGAAAGACTGGAGAAATCATATTAGCGATTACCGATTCACAGAAACAGGATATCGGATGATACGAGGAGCCGTTGAGTGAAATGAACGTTGCCGTAATTGTGAAGCTGTCAATCACGAGGGTCCTAATAGTGGATCGCGCATGAAAGCTCCGAATGGCCGATCTAATGGCTGCCGTGTGAATCAGCAAAATTACGAGCCACGTGCCATCCATCAGAAAGTCTTTTCCTTTCGAGAGAAATACTAACTATCGCGATTAGCGCTCGCTTCTTTACCACAGTCGAATCAATTTGTATTATTTCATTGAGTATTAACCAGTCGGGACTTTCATTGATTGCGACAACAGAATCACTGTAAAATCCACATTAGAGATCCATTCCAATTCGCGCAGACGCAGTATATCCTGATGACATACTTTTTGTCAGTACAAGCTCTTGTATATCGGCGACAGACTTTATTCCGCACCTATTGCCATACAATACTCGCCTTTCAGGTATAATATTTCGTAGAGATGATTTAGCGAGATCTAATGCGATTGCCTAACTGGCATTAATATCGACTTTATTGTTTTCCGCTGAGTCTGTAAGATCAGGTCTATCAAACTAATTTCTGAAAGTCAATGAATCTGCATCTCAAATATACTTGATACCTATTTTCTTGTTAATTTCTGTGTTATTTTTAGCCTATCTCTCTTGTCCTCCGATAACTTTCTTGCTTGTATGTAACGACCCTCCCCTGTTGCAAATTGATATTTTCGCGTGAATATCATAGAAATAAATAAAAATTAACAAAAAAGTGATACACTCTCTCGTGTCTGCCGCTCAACTTGTATTTGTGTAAAAGCTCTAATATTTTGCGAAAATTTTGTGTGGTTACCAAGTAACCCATTTCGTAAGAGAATTTTTTTATTTGAGAAATATATTAGAGCACGTGACGAAGTTGTGCATTCATTATTTGCAAGTACTGTCACAATATGATCGTCATGAATTAATGATTCGTATGTTTTCATTTTTTTCGAGAAATTATTTTCCTAGCAAATTAGTTGTCTATATCTCTTAATGATATTATATTGAATTTCTTCGGTCCATAAATTTCATATAAGAGATAAATCGCGAATTATGAATTGTCTGCATAGTCTGATGCGAGATTAAAGTGCAAGATTAAAATACCTCGATGCATTTTCAGGAATGTACCCAGTAAGAATGATGGCGGATGTCGCTTTTAATAGATGCAGCAGAATTGGTTTATGGATGTCCTGAAATAAATAATACATACATCAGTATTTGATCTGATAGTTTTTCTATACATAAATACTACATGGGCTGAAAAGTTCCGGGATTTTTAATGAAAACAAGCGTTTTTTAGGCAAAGTTATATTTATTCCTCAACATAGTTGCCTTCGAGGGCGATACACTTGGTATAGCGATTTTCCAACATTTCGATGCCCTTTCTGTAGTACGAAACGTCCAAGCCTTCGAAATACGCCTCGGTTTCCGCGATGACTTCCTCATTCGATGTG